TTATTCTTGTTTTTCCAAAGCTTTTGGATATCTCCTTGATAAATGCATGGGAGGTTTTATACATAAACACAAATAGTCAGTTCTGCTCATTAAATCCTATTATTTGAGGGAGAAGAGGAACAGAGATGCTGTGTGAAAAGCACCGTGCCAGCAAGCGTGGTAAAGGCACAGCAATATAAAGCAGAGCCTTTTGACAGCACAAAGCTGACAGTCCAGGGGCTGAGGAAAAGAAAGATGATCATCCAAGCTGCCTTTCAAGATGATCTTTGAAAGCTCTGAATACCACTGCCTCCAGAAGACCATGTTCCTTTGGGGAATTCATGACAATATCTCTCCTTATCCAGAGTGGCCGCAGACCCTGAGGGTGCCAGAGTGCCAACTGAAGTTTTGGGGAGGAAATATCTCAGCAATCAGAAGAGGGGAATTCAAAGCTATTACAGACCACTCCTGGCCATTTACACCACATAAAACCAGGGCAAGGATCCCAGCATCCTCCTTTGGATAGATGCCCAGCTCCACAAACAGTCATAAATTGCCTCTTTCTACCTAAGTTCTCAGAAAAGAAAGAAACTCCAACTTCAGGCTGACTCTTCCTAGTGAGGCTTCTGCAGGCTAGAGCATGGCCCCACAAAGTCCTGAAGCACTGCATGCAGGAGGCTGGGAAAACAGACAGCTGAGAAGAAAGCTCATAGAAACATGCCTGGATACATGGCACTGAATACTTTGTTCAGGAACAAAGCAGCCGCCAGAAAGTATGATCAGGTTCCTTGGAATGGTGTACCTTTCAGCTGAGTGTGCGGAAGGCAGGGTGTATTGGTACACAGGTCTGTCAAAACCAGCTCTGTGCTGCTGAATGATTTTTCCCGCCCTACAAGTTCTCAACTCACTTCAGGCATAGCTGGGGCATCTCCTCCGTCTGCTCCACTGCACAAACCAGGCATGCACAGAAGATATTTGGAAGTCCTGCTGACATTTCTGTCAATCCTCCCATATTCTTTGGGCCACCTGCCCTTCCTTCAGCCCTAGGAATTTCACAATGACCTCTGCCCACCAGATCATGTCCTTACTGAAGAGTAGCATTAGGGTGATACACTCATGAGCAGTCATCGCTGTCTCCTGGACTATCATTTGGTAAGCCCTGGTCAAAGATACAGGCACCATATAAACCCTTTATGAAGCATCCCTACTGCTAAGAGCCCTCTCTTCCTGACATTTTTGTGTGCTAACCCAGACAAACTTGTGACACCTACTGTCAGAGACTCCATGATCCATATTAGCACTCAAATCCCAGGAGGGGGAAATAAAACAATCCTGAACGACAAGAGAAAAAGGGTGGCAAGAAGCTGAAGGCTATAGCTGGCTGATAATTAGACAAGTTCAATTGTAGCAGGCTCCTGGAAAGCTCATCAGGAACAATCCCTCACATGGTTTCAGAAAATATGCAACAGGAAATTACAGCCTGAAGGCACTGTGTTCACTAGCAATTCCCAACCGAGGAAAAGAGAGACGACACAAACCAAAATAATTGCATAAGACTCTCTGAGCTTTACATGCAAGCTCTGCACTTGTCAAGGGAAGTGGGCAAGCAGCCAAAAGGGACACAATATGTCACTAATTATCAAATATAGGAGAGAAATAGCCGGCTTGTTGGAGAAACAATTCATAGAAACAGGGAAACATAGTATCTTTTATGTTGGAAAAGACCTTTAAGGCTATCAAATCCAGCCATGAATCTAGCACTGCCAATTCCAGCACTAAACCATGTCCCTAAACTCTGAATGATTTAAATATCTTTAGGGATGGTGACTCAACACATTTCCCACAATTTAACAGTCTGGAGCAAGGAATTTGGTAAGGTATCTGTGATGGAAGGGCAGGGGGAAATCCCTTCATGCTCCTTTCACTTGGCATAGTTTTTGTATTGGGGCTTTTAAGAGGAGATTCAGCCAGTGTACAGCACAGACACAAAGCATGCCAGGCACTCTAAGCTATTTGCTTTGGGTAAGAAACATACAGGATAGGTAAATTTGCACAGCAGTTTGCCACTGTCATAAGGCAAATGAGCCCTTCTTGGCAATCCCACAAAAAAGCCAACTCTCTGTTGCAGAAAGCTTCTCTGTTTTGCAGAAAGCCTAACTAAATGGTGGGGAATGAAGAAAAGTGGAGGCGGGAGGAGTGAGGAAGCCACCTGCATCCCCTGTAGCCTGGAAGGACACAGCTTTCCCTCAGATGGGAGAAAGTACTAGAGGTCCAGCCAAGCTGCCCTGAAGCAGTGTTCCAGGCAGTGATTCCCACTGTTCCAGGCAGTGATTCCAACTTCTGTGCTCTGCTACTCCAAACACATCGACAGACATCCATCAGTACACGTTCAGGCACCCAGCACCTCCTTCTCCCCATGCCTAAGGCCAGAGAGGACGTTTAGCTATTGAGGCAGGGCTACAAAACAGCCCCGGGAGCTGTGTCAGCCAGGACACTTAAATAAACGCCAGCTTTTTGTGATTTTCTATATTGTTGCTTTGTTTTCTGGCAGCTGAATGTGGATTTTGGATGCAGGTGCGGGTGGACCTGCAGCCCCCGAGCCGTAGCTACAGGTGCAGACACCGGGCTCACCAAAAAAAGGGCAGAATATAAAGCCATTCCTTGGTCCCATCACTTTATCTCACTGTGCGTTTGGGTGGACTCAGTTAATCCCCTTCCAAACCGCATTTTCAGTCACATTGGTGCAGCAGAGCCCGCGGCTGCCGCGGCGTGAGGGACGCTCGGCCGGGGCGGGAGCGGCGGGGCCGGGCGGATGCGCGGGGCTCGGCTGCCCCCTGCGGGCCGCGCCGGGGAACTGCCGGGCAGCGCCGGGCGGGGCTGGGAAAGGCGGGCGGCCCGAGGCGGCAAACCGCGTACTGCGCTGAGGGGAGAGCTGACCGCGGAACCGCGGCACGGTTCGGGCTGGGAGGAACCTTAAAGATCATCGAGTTACAGTCCTCCTCGTCAGCCCCATCCGGCCTGGCTTGGAACACTTCCAAGGATGGGGGTACGCGCAGTTTCCCTAGACAGCCTGCTGTCAGTGAAGAATCTCTTCCTAATATCTAGTCCAAACACACCTGCTGTCAGTTTAAAGCTATTCCCCGCATCAGTACGTGCCCTGGTGGAAAGTTCCTCTCCAGCTCTCATGCAGGTCCCTTTTACACGCTGGAAGAATCTACAAAGTCTTCTAGGCACCTTCTCTCTTTCGGGCTGATCACCCCACCTCTCTCAGCCGGTCTTCACAGGAGAGGCGCTCCAGCCCTCTGATCATCTTCATGGCCCTGCTCTGAGCTCAGTCCAGCAGGCTCACATCCTTTTAACACCAGAGGCCTCCGATGCTCCAGGGATGCAGTACCCTGGGAGCAGGCAGAGGCTCTCCCCGGAGCACAGCGGAGGGGCAGAATCCCCTCCCTTGCCCTGCTGGCCACGCTGCTTTGGGCGCAGCCCAGGACGGCGTTGTCTTTCTGGATTGCCCATTTGTCGGGTCATGCTGAACTCCTTGTCAACCAACAGCCTCAAGTCTCCTCAGGAAGAGGTTTTGTTCTTTCGGGGAGATCAAGGAGGGAAGCTGGTAATTGAAAATGTTTGATGCAGACTTTCTTTTTCAGCATCTTCTAAAGACCAATCCCAATACTTCCCCAAATGCTCTGTTATGATTTAACCTAGAAGACTAGAAATTAAGCCTCAGACCAACAAGTATTCCTCCTCTTTCTCCAAAAAGACCTTAGAAAACAGGTATTTTTCTCAGCTTAGCCTATTCTTTGTTCCCAGGGCAAATGTTGCTTCTACCTCTAAAACTCTGAGGAACATCTTGTTTGGTTCTAACCTGACAGGAGATAACCTTTCTTTGCCACCTCCCAACATCCACAACTCTCCAAGATGTGGTAGAGAGTGGGGCAATACACCAACACAAAGTCTTTTTAATACTACGCTGGCAAGTCAAGGTTCAGTGTACAATTCCAAAATATCATGTGGCTTTTGGGTGAGTCACATCAGCAACATTACCCTTCCCTTTGCATTTGGACTCCTACATACACCATGGTTTGTAGCACAGCCCGAGTTCATTTGCAGAAGGTACCAGCATCACAGTCTTGGGTCATGAAAAAATAAATTAACAGTCTGGGAGTTTTTAATCGTTACAATCATACTTACACGGACTCTGTGTGGAGTGCATGAAGCAAGCACTGAGACTATTTGAGTGGCTTTGTGTTTCTTCCAAGTCCAGTTACTTCTGCTGCCCTCTCAAAATGGTCTGTCTAAAAATGTCCAGATGTCCACTTGCCATTATCATTTTAAATAAAGATAAGTAATGCCTTAGTTTTGTTTTGTTTTCTCTCTTTATCTACCTTCCCATTTCTCTCTGAACTTAAAACCTAGGTGGCAGCCAAGATTCTGACTTGACTCACTCAACTACAATATGTACAGTTTTCATCAATCATTCAAGGAATTATAGGGCCAATAGCATAAAAGTCATTAGAAAAAACACAGATTTTTTTAATACTGCCAATTTCTTATAACTTTACGTCAGTTGAAGCAAGCCTGTTATTTTTTATAGAAAGTTCTGTTTTCATTCCCATCTTTCTTGTCAGCTGAGGGCTGAGGGGAGGAAGGCCCCAAGGCTGCAGTTCCTGAAACACACACACACCTGAGTGGGAGTCGAGTGGGTTTTCTTTACTGACAACACGTCAGCCCAGAGAGGGAGCAGCAGAATGAAGCAAGGGACAAAGCAGGAGCTCGGGAGAGAAAGAGGCACTCGTTTTCAGCCTCAAACCTTTGCTCAGTCTTTGGATTAAGTGAGGATTTATGGATCTGCTGCATGATTTAGCCTTTCTTAGAAGGTCTCTTCTTCCTTTCCTGGACTATAGTAGTTACTGCTTTTATTTCCCCCCATGTTACAAAAGAAATAATGTCATACGTTAATGTCCTGGAAATAAAATTTGATGATTATTCAACAAAGAATCAGGTAACAGCAAAGGCTTGAGTAGTTCATATTCAAAAATATTTATTTTTCAGTTGTTCATGATACGTGTCAAATTCTTGGTTACAGCAAAAAAGTTGTAACAAACAGCATCACAGTGACATATAATCAAGAGTGAAGTTTATTACAACTGTGTAAACAAAAAAAAAGTATTTCTGTCATGGCACTGTCCATGAACCAGATTATGGCATACAGAATCCCAGCAAAAGTCAATAGAAACTTTTATAAAGAAAATAAACCCCCAAATTGTAGAAGAGTATGCCAAAATGGCCTAATCCACATTTAATCAGAGATAAGAGTGTCCCCAGAATTTTTGCTTGGCTTGTTCTTAAGGAAATTAAATCTTCATTGTTTTCAAGGCATCAATCCAGCATGTGAAATAGTACTATTATTGAATAATATGAATAAAGAGCATACATCTCTTAATTATGACAATGTGAATACCCCTACTGTTACATTATTAAAGGAGATGAGATGATTTTGGAATGTTATTGCCTGTATAGCATGACACCTTTAAGAGATATTCCTCAGGAAATAAAAATAAGTTACTGAGAAATAAAATCCAAAGTACACCATCAGATAAACTTTTTTTGTGCATAAATACCAAAAAAGTAGAATCTTATTTTTATGCAATGAAAGTAAACAATTTGATTATAATACAAGGTACATACTGTAAACTGTAGGATACACTTTGAACAAAAAATATACTAATCTCAAACATATTTTATATATCAGCATCTAAAATGAGATTTTAAAACCTTAGGGGTTTTCTTTTAGATCATGCATTAGTTACAGCTTGCTTGATGGCCACAGTTTTGCCAGCAGCCTTTTAGTGTTCTGTGACAGCCTCTTAATAAAAACACACAGGTCTGAATTCCACTACATTTTACACATGTACCTTTCATACAGGAAGTTTTGCATATGTTCCATCTGCAGAGAGTAGGTCCCACAACAGCAGGAGGTAAAGACAGAGCAACCAAGGTACAGTTATTAAAAAGTGCTGGACAGTTGGGAGTACATAATATAATTACAAGCTGGTATCTTCAGTTTACAGAAAGCTATACATTTGTTGGTTCAAAAAAAAAAAAATAGACATCCAACATGTGCTTACTCACATGCTGACACAGAGCTCATGCAAACAATTAGAAAAAAATCTTCCCCATCTTATCCTTCAGAAATGCTGCTTATAGTTCATCCTCAAATAAATTGAGGTTCCCTCATAAACAGAAGGGGCCTGATGTGCAGATTGACTCAAGCAAAAGGTAATTGCTTCCTGCACACTGAGACATGAACAGAAGTATCAAAGAGGAGATTTCATTGAATTGGGCTTCATTTCTACACTGTTAGGTCCAAATCCAAGTTCACTTGTCATTAAGCAATAAGACTACCTTAAAAAAAAAAAAGTTATTTTCTTGGAGGAAGAACATTTTCTTCATAATAGCCTGGATTTACTACATTTCCAGCTGGATCATATCTAGCCACCACAAACGTTGAGCCATCACTAGCAGATGCCTTTCCAACTCCCATCTTTTTTGTGTTCTTCCAAACCATTGCTGTAAAGTGACCTGAAGAAAGAGAGAGAAATATAAACATTCCCTTTAGATACTAAATCTGTAACATTTCCTTTAACATGTGAGGTGCTGGGGGAAAAAAGAACAATATACAGCTGCTTCTTTGTGTAACATGAGAACAAGCTAAGGACATGAAAAGGAACCCTAACTCTACTACTACCCTACTCTTGAGTGCTGTGTCCAGTTCTGGCCCCTCAGTTTGGGAAGGACACTGAGACACCTGAGCACATCCAGAGGAGGCAACGAGGCTGGTGAGGGGCTTGGAACACAAACCCTGTGAGGATCGACTGAGGGAGCTGGGGGTGTTTAGCCTGAGAAAAGGAGACTCAGAGGTGATCTTATCACTGTCTACAACTTCCAGAAGGGAGGTCGTAGTCAGGTGGAGTTTGGTCTCTTCCATCGGGAAGCAACTGGCAGAATGAGAGCGCACAGTCTCAAGCTGTGTCAGGGAAGGTATAGGTTGGATATTAGAAAAAAAATATTTCACCAAAAGAATAATAAAATACTGGAATTGTCTTCCCAGGGAGGTGGTAGAATCACCATCTCTGGATGTGTTTGAAAAAAGACTGGACATGGCACTTGGTGCTAGGTTGGACTTGATGATCTTAGTGGTCTCTTCCAAGCTCATTATTCTGTGATTCTAGCATTTTGTCTTGAAAACCTCTAACCTGATCTGTTTTCCATGCTACGATTCCCATTTCCATGTTCTGTATCCAAATAAGAACATGTAGCAGGAGAATCGTGAAAGAAGTAGCTTGATAAGTATCTGATGTAAAATTTGACAAAGATATCACAGTCTGTACTCCCTGCAGTGTGAACAGCAGCTCTGAGAGTGACTATTATTCATTTGCTTTAATTGCCTCATACTCCCCCATGTGTTTGCATGTGCAACTCTTAAAAAATCCCCACTGTTTCTGTTGCTTTTTCTGCCTAGTTTAATAGCCACCCCTACATTGTTGTTCCCACTATGCATAGGCCAATCCCAAAGTCAGGGAGAAAAGACTAATTTTCTTAATCTGAAACAAGGTCAGGTGCCTCTCTTGCTTGAGCATTATTTAAGGAACAACATTCTCAAATACATTTTGCACTAGATTGTTAATATGCAGCCAATGACCTGTTCCCAGTCTCCAAATTAGCTGAAGTGATCTCTGTGAGTAGAGTGATATAATTCAGCAGAAATCACATGTCAATGTAAGCAACACAGTACATTTAGTAAGACTCCTATATGATTCCAATTTAGTATTTCTTGCAAATTGATTTCCCTTAAAAATAAGTTGCCTGTTCAAAACTTCGAAGTCAGAGGAAAAATGCAGTACTGAAAAACCCTACAAATTTTGCTCATTTTCTAATTTCTCAGGGTTTTTTTTACACTTTTGTAAAAGTTTTTTAGCATAATAGTAGAAGTTTCATCTTTAAAGAGACAGTTCCCAGTCTGAACTTACCTGTCCTAGAAGAAAACCCTGGGTTTTGAAAGCTGTAATTTTTTATTTCACTGTACCATCTATCAGCCACATCTTTTCCTGAAAGACAAAAGAAACGTGCTGCAGAATCATGACATAAGCACAAAAGTGTAGCTCACTTACAGCCTGGCCAGTAAGATCTTTTATAACTTACAGCTTGGAAGGTAATTAAGACATCTGCCTCATCTTGGATAAGTGCTCCTGTCATCAGGTTTACACATACAGCTTGCTTCTTCCTCTTGAAAGGTGTTTGAAAATGCCTAAGTGTACCAGATTTTCTAAGCAAAAGGTAACACCTGTGGATGTTTACCCCTTCCAGCTCCAGGTAAACCAAAGAAAAATTAAATTTCTGATGTCTTTTTAGTTTCCCATGTTCTCACCAGCATTGAATATTTCTGACTGTATTTATTTTTAGAGGTGTCTACCTAGCACTAAGCCATTGTGAGGGCCCATTTTGAGGCACTATAATCTGGAGTACTACAGAAACCTCAAATATTCATACTTAGGAGCTGTTTCTGTGTGGAAGCCTATGTGTCCAGCATTGTCTCATCCCACCCAAGGCTTTCCTTGACAACAGCTGCATAAGGACTATGACTACAGCCAGGGATGTAGCTCAGACCCAAAACTGCAGATGCAGTGCAGACAAATGTCAAATGTTACTTGTTTTCCATTACTGGTTGTTAGGAAATTCTTGTGCCAAACACCAGGGGGATGAGAGGGGTTAGGTTTTTCCCTGAGCAACCTCAATAATTAAGTGCCTGCTTTGCGTTCCAGGATGCATCATCCACACAAGGCCAGGAGGTTTCAAAGCAAGCTGCCAAAGCTGTTAAGCCTGCCATCCTGAAGAATGCTGGTCCCTGGTGGACTGTTGGCTGCAGAAGAACAATGAGTCATGCTTTGCTATTTCACAGCAAAAAGTCTTAAACTCGTGCACTTCTGGAAGTCAGACTCCGTGTTAACTTCCTTAAACTTCAGTTTGTTATGACTGAAGCCAGCTAAAAGGATGATGCTGTTAGCCTGGCAAGCTGGTTGTCAGAGCCCCAGCTGATAAGCAAATATTCAATGAAGTGCTATCTCTAGAGAGGTTTATGAACTTGAAGTACTATGAACTTACATGCCACACTGGTCGTTAGGAATAGTGCTTAGTAGAGTAAATATTTTTTTCTACATAGAAAGGTAACAAAACATCTCTTTCCTCCCAAAGTAAAAGTTTCAGGAATAACAATTGGCTTTTCTTTTCCTTCTCTCCTTGCACCGGAAAAACAAACCCAGACCTGTATTATGGTTGAAGTATGTAACACATACTTATTCCTTTCTTACTTACACTAGAGTTAAAATGAAGGCTAAAATAAAATGCAAATAGTGACCTTTATGCAATACAAGGGGAAAGAAAAAGAACATAGCAAAAAAAAACACAACAAACCAATCAGCTCATCCTGTCCCACTCCAGATTTCATAGCTTTGAAGGATTTAGATGGGTTAGTGGTAAGCTGGGTGTAACAGAAGTACAGAAGGTGACTGCTGACATATCAGGCCTTATAAAGCCCATGTATTTTATCTGTACTAGTGCTGAAGTGAATATACCACATAAGCAAGATTTTAGCAGATGTAGGACTGAATTCTCACTGCTGCCAGGTATTTATTCACTCTGTATATAATGTATCAGTGTAATATAGTATTTAAGAGAAAGTCACTCCCACTCTGCTTACTGTAGCTCTGAGAAGCATGTCTAGGCTGTATGTGACAGAACTTAAAATCTACAAAATGCAAGTATTGCAGGGCACATGGAAGTTTGGACAAACACTTTCTCTTCATAATTAATTTGCTTTTAATTAAAATAATACTATCATTTAAAAATTTGTTTTCTTTTTAATTCAAGAGAGATAGAAATGGCATCAGGTAAGACTGCCTCAATCCTATACCTGAAAGACAATGAGCATAGTTAGCACAGTCTATCATGTGTTAATTCCCAGATTTCAAGGATGAAAGCTTTCAACTGACTGAGGCCAGGCAGTTAAAGCTGAGAAACTGATCACTGTTCTACATTTTTCACATGCTGGATCAAGTTTTCATTATATAGCATTGCTGTCATCATCCTTGAATTAAAAGAGTCATGGCCTCATAAACTGTGAGAAAATAAAGACTGACTTTTTTCAAGCAAAAGAGAAGGTCACCAATGGACTAGGCAATTTTCGACAAACTCTGTCCTGAAATCACGTTAAAGAAGCGTCCTGTAAGTGAAGGTATCTGTCACATGGCACAGGAAGTGAGGGGGAATGCAAAGTGGAAGTTATTACTTTGTGAGAAGGCAGGTAGGTACCTAGCAATCGATTAAACAGTCTCTCTTTCCTCTGAAATCCTTCTATTCTGATTATTTTCCCTTTGTGGAGCAAAGACAATGCCCTTTGTGTCCCAATGATGGGACACAAGCCAAACCAGTGTTGAGAGTGACAGCTGGCACACAGGGGACCAAGGAAAACCCCTGTTTTGAACCCAGTAACCTCCAGGCTTCCAGAGAGAAAACAGCACAAGGGTCAGGAGTGCACTGAGCCTACCTGCTTTAGCAGCAACTTGCATCCTCAGACTTACTGGTTCAGAAAACTGACCACAATATTTCCATTTAAATGTATTATGGAATAAATTATGCAGTCCTATTTAGGGTCCGTTTTGATTGCTTTTCAATGTTTCATTGAAAACAGCTCGCCCTGCTCCCAAAGTTCCCCCAAAGCAAAGGAAGTTGGTTGCAGTTCAAAATGCTTTTCAGTCAGAAGGAAAAAAGCAGAAAAGAAATAGCTCACATTCCTGATCAGAGCAGAAATGATGAAGTTTACTCCTCTCAAGAAGCACATGGATGTGCCCTGCAGTCAGAACTGCAGCTTGAACTGTTGCTCTGCTTGTGGAACTGATTAGTAAATATTTTGCTGGGCTTTTTTATCACTCTTCCTCTTTGCACTGCTGTAAACTAGGCTCAGAGTTTCAACACTTTGGAAACGAGGTTTGGCTCCACCCTTCTCCCAGTGAGAGACAGCTGACTAATGACCTGCTCAGCTAGGTTTACTAGATATTCATTTCAGAACAGGCTGAATCTCAATCTAATGAGTTTCAGTCATGATGGACAATCTTCCTCAGGTGAAAACTTGGCACAACAATCCTTGAACTAACATTCAAGTATAGTTTTGCCCAAGACTAGGACCAGAACCAGCACAGTGATTTGATTTTATTTACACAAGATACATGTTTGCAACGTGGCCACACTGACTGTGCTTCAAGATTCCTGAGAAGGTCAGAGGAGTGACCATGTGGGCTCATTCCATATGTAGGACTAACAGTCTAAATTATGTCCTCCTTATTATCAAGGGGCCACTGCATGTAAGCAGTGACTTGTCCATGCTCTGCATCTCATCAGCTGTGCTGTTGTGCCATTAAATATCATTTTTAGCTATTCTCCTGGGTGAGGAGCTCCATTCTGTGTGGATGTTGAGGGTGTGAGCACTAACAACTGGTACCAGACCAAGGGTTGCAGGGACCTCTGGGTGGTGCCAGCAACTGGAGCACCAGAAAACCACAAGAGGGACCAGCTGGTGAGCAGGTGAAGTGCTCTGAGGGGAGCTGCAGAAGTGAATGGCCATTGCAGGGTGGGTCTGATCAGAAGCCAGGGACCTGCGTGTGTGAGATGCACTGTGCTGGCGACTGGAGTGGAACTGCAGACTCAGGAATTGGTGTGTCCAGGTGCAAGCTACTGGGGAGATTGGAATCCATGGACAGCTAGTGGGCAGACAGTGTCTGAGCTCAGTTACTGCTGGGATCCACACTGGAATTCTATTTCTATTATATACATGTATATAAACATAGGTAATTTAACACTGTACAAGATACTTTACATCTACTTTTAAATCATTTACTGAGAAATAGGTATTTGTATTTCTATATAATACATTAATTTACTTACATATACTCCAGTAACATATATTGGAATCAGCTGGAAAAGGAAAGAAGAAGAGGCCACTGGTGCTGATCATTTTAATACTGACTGCATCTATTTGTGCTGCTCTGCACATAAACACATATCCACAATATATTGTGTAAGGCTGGAAACACATTCCCAGCCTGTGCAAGACTGGACACACATTCCCAGCATCACCATTGGGAACACAATGCTGTGGCAGCCCTATTCCTGTATTTAGCTCACCTCAACTGGGCCCAGTTAATTCCTCTGGGCCCAGCCTTACTGTTTCTGCTCATACCAAAGAATGCTTAAATCCTCAAGTAATCCAACACTCTAATAGAATCACACAGGCCATATTTCTCTGCAAATGGACAGCACCTTGGTTATCTACTTAAAAATTAAGTTTTCACAACATTCTTTTGACCAGTCAGGGGATAGAGGGTAGATTTAACATTGCCTTTGAAATAAAGTATCTGCCTAGACTAAAACCATACCAATGGCTTTTGGAAATAATTCTCTGATTTCATCATCCCTCATGCAGGTCCTTACTTTATTTTACTTTATTTAACACTATGGTATGAGCCTGGTGTTAAAAAGCAATAGATACATCAAGGCAGGCCTTCAGTCAGAACACACTCCTCCAGGGCTTGGACAGACAGTGCTTGTGCTGTTCTGCACACTAGTCCCAGCCTTAGGAGACCCAGATTCCTCCCATGACAGATTTGGGGGATAGCTGACTGGATTTCTCTTACACACTCTCCAGAGTTTATAAACCATAGTGCTTCCACCAGCAAGAGGGCATGTTCTTCTCAGCCACACCAGCCATCCCAAACAGAATTCAGACATCCAGTGCTTGCCTTCAGCCTCCCAACACACGAGAAATGAGATGAGGCATCCTGTGAAGCCTGACATAGTACAGCTGCCAAGGCAGGCTGCAGTCTCTCGCATTAGTGGCAGATGACAGCTCACTTATTTGAACAGACAAAGAAAAGTCTGCCACAGAGCAGTTCCTGCAGGACTGGAGGGAGGAAACAGCTGTCAACTCTTTCTTGGATTACAGGGATAAACATATTTCTAGCAACAGCTTTAGGCTATGTAACTCTAAAATCCTGAAGAGAATTCAAGGTATTCTTGTAGCAAGGGAAGAGTCATATTAGGCAGCTTTATAGTTGAAAGCTTAAATCTTCCCTGAAACAAGAAATACATCTTCTGGCATTATTACAAAACTCAGCAAGAGCCAAAATAAACAACAGCATCACTTTTTGAGAGAGAATACAGAGAATTCTAGAGGTTTATTGAGTCTTGCTTTATCTGGGAAAGAAACCAGAAGACACTGCCTGCCTTTGTTAAGTCCCTGAATGGATGTCTTAATCCAAATTTCAGCCTCATTGAGCAGGGTACAAATTAACTATCGAGAGGGAACTATATGAGAAAAAGAGGAAGAATGAACCAACTCCTCAGAGGTGAAGACTAAGCCTAGATGAGAAAATAACTTCCTTTGAAGAACTAGCTTTCTCATTCTGGTACTTTGAGTGATCTTGTTGGAAATGTAGAAATGTTTCACAGAACAAGAGAGGATGTACTTTAATTTTCTCAACATGGTATTTAGTCCTGTGGATAAAAACCAGCAAAACTTCACAAAACTGGAAAGTTATGTATGTTGTGTATGTATGGAAATAGTGCATTGAAGAAAACAGACCGGATCCAGAGAAAAGACAGACATTTTGTAGAAGGATTTGTGTGTTATGTTTCTAGCTCTCTAAAAGGGAATTCTGTGGCTTTAACCTCAAGGGAAGGAGCACAGGCCAGTAACACAAACAAGAAAGAGCTAAGCTCAGTCAGTGAGTCATAGCCACTATGCAAACTCTGCCATACATCTGTGCTTTCCCATGCTGCTCCGAATCCTTTCCTCACACCCTTGCAAAGGACAGAATGCCAAATATGAGCAGATCAAATTGTATTTTTCCACCATGGGTTTCTTTTTCAACATGAAAATTTGGACTAGAGTTGGCACTTGAAGAGGAACCAAACAGCATCCCTGGGACTAAAACTCACAAAAATGTCCAGGTCCTTCAAACAGAGCCTCCAGCCTACAGAAAAGAGCTTCTGTTTCTTTGGGGCTGTGCTGGAAATTCCAGGGGTAGACTGAAATAAAGAAAGCAAGTGGTCACTTTTAATACATCCCACCTGCTGTCCCAGCAGGCTGAGGCATGAGCCCTACTCACTGGAGGGAGGCAGGAGGGAAGAGCCTGCTGAATCTCTCTCCAGCCAAGGGCTCACTACAGGCTATCAGCCTGACCAAAATTCAACTCCTGGGGCACCCAAATCAAAGGCTCCCAGTTACAAATTACATTTACAATCAGAACATACATGAAGTAAAACAAACATGAAGTAAAAAAGTCTTCAAAAATGTTGTCATGAAAAAGGGCATAAACCTGTTTGCTGACACATTTGAAGATACTAGTGGAAGGACATTAGCCACTGTCACTTTGGTGTCCAGTCCTCTGCTTTTGCGCCTACAAACAAGAACTTCTGTGCAGTGTGCAAGAGACATTTTTCCACTTCCCTCACCACAGCTGGGCTGTGGGCTGACCTCTCTTTGGCTGGGACAAACTAAGGATAAAGGTGAAGTAGGAGGCACTGTTGACTTCCTTCTCTCCTGCATGGACACACAAGTACCACCAAAGACAGCTCCACAGCAGGGACACAGGGAGCAGCATAGCTGCCAAGTCCTGCCTCCAAAGGGACATTACACACCACCACAATCCCATACTCCCTCTGTGCCCACATACGCTTCTTGCTCTCAGGACACATAGGTGACTGCAAACCACGAGCCTGTCCCCAGGGAACCTGGACTGGGCTATGCTGGATACATTTTTGAAATAGAGGAAACTCCAGCACCCTTGCTACCAGATGCAAGCCAGAGTACTTAAGGGATTTATCAGGTGTCTGTGAGTCAACAAGTGAAGAGAGCTCACCTGATTGGTCATAGGATGCCCATGCCAGGTTTTCTCCACAATTCCCATTAGCAGACTCAGAGCTGTGCTTGAGGACCCTCGTAGTAGCCAGTTCTTCTGCATACCTAGCAAATGAATCCACACATTGAGTTAGGGACCACAGCTGCAATGAGCAGAAAGGAGGAGGAAGAGAAGAATATGCAAGCAAAGAATTGTGCTGGAAGATGACGGGTTTAAGTCAAGTTGCAAAGTCCTGAAGCCAGAGATGCTTTAAAGTTACATAGACCAATGAGTTAGGCAAAGGAAAAACACGTTTTCCTTCTCTTTCATGAGTATCTGTATAAATTCTGAGAAGGGCCTAGAAGAAATCAAAGGGCAGATCCCCTTGCACCATATTTTATCCAGCACCTGGAAATCCTACAGCCATCCTCAACCACAGCTGTGGGTGGAAAGGGATGTACCTACAACAATTGCTACAAGTGCCACCTCCTGGCATTTCTAAGTCCCTCACAGGAGGAAATTAATTGTTCTCAGTGAGACTGGGAAAAAAAATAGATGTGGGAATTCAGTCAAAGCAAGCATAAACCCCCTACATTTACAAATGAAAGAAAAAAGTCAATTGCAAAAAAAGAGCAATGTTCCAGGCAATAAGATGGAAGAGAAGGGGATCACATGGAGACTCTGAGGCAACAACTGTGTAAACCAACATAGGGATAAGCAGCACTGTTTCTATAGAATTTGACATGTGGGTGAATGTGGGATGTATTTTATTTTCTTAGAAAAATAGGGTTAAGAAGAACATAATGGGTAAAGCAATTACTCTCTTTATTCAGCATTGGAAAGGCTTCAGTACAGAGACAGGGAAATTGGAAAGACCATTTATTATTTCCTATAGTGGCAACAAAGAGAGTCATCAGGTCACAGATTTAAAATTCAAGTGAGACAAAGCTCTTCTTCTACACTGTGCAGCAGAAGTCATTGTCACAGGATAATGCAGGCACCAAAGCACATGTGAGTTTGAAAAAGAGAGAGGCAAAAACAGTGTATGGATATGGGGAGGAATCTTCACAGCATATTAAACAACATCAACAAATAAATGAGGATACAACTTACTACTTAGGAAAATGGTAATGTCCAGGATAAATCCGTAATTTCCAGAAGATAATAGGGGAAGGATCACATTTGTTTTGTCCTCCTACTCCTTCCCTAATCATGAATTACTGGCATCTGCCAGAGACATGAATTTTGTGCAACTGAACATTTTGACCCAAGCTAGTACTTCAGTCATTAGGTTCTAATTTCCTTCTGCCCTAATCCTCCCACAAAAAAAAAAAAAAGGAAAAAAAAAAAGTATTCAGCTACATCCGTTGATTTAGAAATAATGAAAACTTGTTTGCTAGATTCTGGACTAAAGGATATTTAGATGCTATCTCTACAGTTATGTAATTTTTCTCAGGATCCTCATATCCCAAGTTAGAGGCAGGACTGAGACTAAGTACACATTGCAGATGGATGAAGCTGCCAGGGATTTGAGACAAAAGGTGATTAATCCACTCCAGCTCAGGCAGTTGAAAGCATGAGATTTTCATCTCAGATCATCACCCTATGTTTCATTACAGTCAGAGATAAACAGACACCTGCTGAGGCTGACTCATCTCATGTTAAAGCCGGGATCCAATGGTCAGTTCACCTGTCACAGTATAGCACCTAAACACATACCAACAATATATACATATATATATATATATATGTCCTATATATATGTCCTATATATAGGATATACTCAAAGAAAAGGTGAAGTTCTTCTTTTAATTTAAGAATATGCAAGATCTGTCTTGACAAATATGAGATTTCTTAAATTTCATGTCTTTTATTCAGACCAAAACATTTCTTGTTCTTGCTATCAACCAGTTTTACCTGTCTCTGAATATGTCTTTTAAGTTACAGACCTCAACCAAAGAGAAACCTCTCTTTGTTGTTCATCGCAGCAGGGCATCAGCTGAGACCAAAGAGGGCTGTGAGGAATTTCTGAAGGATCTAAAAATACCCAGCAAGGGCAACAGCACACTTAGAGATAAATGTGGAGCAATGCATATTTGATAGAATAATCTGAACTATTCACACAAGCCAACTTCTTCAAACTGAGTGTAGCACTTCTGAGACCCAACAAGTGCTATTGACAAGTCAATGAAATCTCTTACTCACTGTCAGCATGAAAAACAGAAACAAAAAAGGAAACCCTTAGAAGAACAGAAGGAAAGCCCCAGCAGATTACAAGGTTGGTGGATGAGTCACTGGCTTTCTATATCTTAGGAATACTGTATCCAGTTATAATGGTGTGTCAAGAAAAGAAAAAAAAAAAAGTGAAAACACCAAGATTTTTCTTGCTGCCAGAGGTCATGTCCACATGCCATTTACATGGTGTGTTGTACAGCACAACACCTGGGAGAAATCTAGGAGCCAGGAGCCAGTTCATCTGTGTGACATCTCTGTCCCATCATTCTGGGACAATAAATCAGGTTCTGGAAAGACTACAGCATCTCTGGCTCCTAATAACTCAGCACAGAGAAACCTGTGTGGTTATGGTAGAAAGATAATGGAAAGAGATCTTATGTCTAGAGTAGGGATCAAACTGCCTGCCATTTAGTATAATTTATCTTCCAAATAGATTAATCAGCATTTGCTCCTTCTATTATCTCCTTTGTACTGCGAGGATCAGCATGGAAAAAAATTGAAGATTATTAAATCTACTTTTTGAAAAAGATTGCTGTAAATAGAAGATAATTAATCTGGTTATCGTAACTACAGTAAAGAGGACAAACAGGACAAATTTCTGTAAGGAAGACTCAAGTCAGAGAGCAGGAAGCTGGATTCACTGTATGTTAGACTGAGAAGAAGTTGTGCAGACTTCAACACTGGAGTAGAGGCAAGATGTTTTCTTCCTGACAGAACAGAGAACATATAATACTTTTACATTTGAGGCTGGGAGAGATAGATAGATAAATTAATCAGAAAATACTTCCTCCTGATTCTACTGATCTTAGACCAGATGCCACTTTTTACCATGAATAAGTTCTTTTCTCTCTATTTCAGCAGGAGTAGATATTCTCCTGCAGGTGACAATCCCTCATCTAACAGAAGTGGTGGTGGAGCATGTTTTATACAACTGCCCTCTGCAGAAGACACCTACCAATGCAGACAGATGTAGTGCACATCTGAAAAAGGCTCCCAGAAAGATTTGTACAGTTGTGACCACAAAAGTGTCCATGTGACCAGCTACAGCTATGGGATGGAAAAAGAGAGGATGAAAGAGGAGAGTCCCTCGCTTTCTACTCAGTAAGTCTTCACTGGTTATCAGCATGCCAAAATGAAACAGTAGTAAACACAGTAAACCTAACAGATAAAAGTAAACACAGTCAAACCTAACAGATAAAAGAGTCACAAATCTCTTTAGAGAAAAGAAAGGACTGCACTCACTGTTGGGCTCCTCTGTTTAACTTCTTGCAGAGTTTTAATGGGGGGACTCCATGTTTCTTCCTGTAGTCATTGTGTACTTTCAAGACTTCTTCAGCAAATTGTTTGGAAGCTGAAATCAAATTATAAAAAAAATCGGAAAGGTCTGTAAAATATAGACATTAGTGAAGACAGAAAAAACATACCCGGTACCTAAGCCCTGATGCAGGCTGGACAGAAGAACACAGGATGAAATGAACCACTGACTTCCATCCAGAAACAAACTAACAGATAATCCCATTGGGAAACTACAGACTCAACAAAGGTTAAAGAAAACTGTGATCCTTACTGCTTTCCTCAATAGCAAGGTGGTTTAAGGTTGTTGAAACAGTTTGTCAGTTCAAAACCAAAATCAGTTTGACTGACTTTCATTTTAAGATATCTGTACTGCATCACCATTCCAATCTCAGAGTAAGCAACAACTAAGTCCTTCAAGAAGATGCATTAAAAATACAAATGATTGTTCCTCTAAGTAAGGATTGTCTGTATTATTCAGGGTACCACCTAAAAAGAATGAAGATACTAAAATGTTTAGATCTCTGCAAGTACTTGGAAACATTCAACATTCTTCTAATTCATTTTATAGCACAAATTCATAGAAATCTCAAAATGCACCTTTATTTGGCTCAACACAAATAAATGTTGACAACAGCAAGTGGTAAGGAAAGATACAACTACTGTGGCATGGGCTTTATATTTATTAATGACTCATCAGCTTCATTTCTGAGTATCTCAGTTAGCATGACTACCATCATTTTCCTTGTAAGACACTTGGGAAACCCAAACAGATCCTATGACTAGAAAGAGTTTCCTGTTATTAACCTTGGATTTCACAACTTCCTCTCACTACTTGATCCTGACAACTAAAACCAATCATTCTCTGCTGTATTAGCATTATTCTCTTCTGCTGTTTGTAATGATGCACTTTCCCCACAATAGAGCTGTCAGTTTGCACACATTGGTCTCAGAAATTTTTCCTAAGATGATTACCCAGCTCAGTCTCATGCTTTTGGTTGTTCTTGGAGCTCTCTCCAGTTTCCTCAATAGCACTGGGATAATACAGCAGCCTAATATAATCTCAGTATCCAATGCATACAAGAAAGCTATTACCATTTCATGCAGCATCTTAAATCTTTTGAACACAGTCTGAAGTTGGTTTGACTCTTTCCTGACCAGAGAGTCATTGTGGACATATATCTAACATATTCTCCATAATATTCAGAATAACTTTTTTGGTATCAGTTTGTTGGTATAACACAGCAGCCCTGTTGAACCTGGTGACATCTGCCCATCACCTTCCTCCTCTTCAGTTCTCCCTCAGTTTTGTGTATCACAAGTTGCACATCATCAGAAAAACAGGTACCTCCATTCTGGTATTCAAGTACACAAACTCCTTTTTGCTAATGAACTGCCCCATCAGTCTTGCTACCATAGCTCACAGCTCACTGATTCTATCAGGCCAGAGTCTTAAACCTCTCATCTGCTCTGTTACAGAGGTAGCAAATTTCCACAGCATTTATCACAAGTCACTGAGGAAAGCAAGCCTACATCAAATTCACCCCCTCCCCTGATGCAGGGGTTCCAAGCTTCCAGCAAGGAAATGTTAAGACAGCCTACAAATTATAGACATTGAAAAATATAGCTTTGAAAGCTGCATTACATACTCCAGACTAGTTTTTTGGGGTGGTTTTTTTTAGTTTTTTTGGGTTGTTTTTTTTGCTTGAGACCATGCTAAACTTGTGGCTGTTATCACCTAGATTTAATATCCTACCCACTCAGAACTGAATAGATAAACAATCTGACCTGCAAGTACAGAAGTTTTTATCCAAATAATTTGCTCTCAATGACAACATAAAATTGAAATTCTAATTTTAAAAAATTCAACTGAAATACAGATTTTGCAGTGCTCAGTCCAAAGATTAACAGAAATACTGCAGTGTAGCTCTGTACTAACTTTTTTGACTTACAAAGATAACAAGTCATGGACAAAACTGAGTTGCTTCTAGCTGCAACAGGCACTGCTATGCTGTCCCTGGAGAACCTCCATCCTCCCCTTCCCTCAGAGGTGGCTGCTATAGAAATGCTTATCTTCTGTGACTCAAGCTCATGTGCTAACCACCTCCCTCTGTACAGCTTTTCCCATGCCTGATGATGTGTGGAGAGGGACGCCCAAGTGCCAGATATATTTCAGATTTGTTTCAGGATGCATGTTAAGTTTTTCCATTTTACCAGTGTTCCATACACTGAGAAGCCAGGCATTAAAAGTGAGAGTTAATGGGAGTTTTCAGGCTCCCACCCAAATGGGAACAGCTTCCCAAACAGCTGTGGAGACGTACCTCTTTCCCTTCATGTAAGCTGCTTAAGCTGCAAGAAAAAAATTATTTTCTACTGCCAGACAGATAAGTTTGGTCATGAATCATTACACACTTTAATAAGTAAAACAACTGAAGGTATTAGATACAGTTGCTTGCTCCTCAATAGTTAAGTATTTGCCTCTATTTCTTACTCTTCTGGAAAATAGGCTAAGATAATGGCAGCATGTGATGTTGAATTTCTAAGCTATGACGTGGTACAGAGCACACCTACAGCTGTTATGCTCTTGGATTTCCAGTTTCATTGATCAACTTTGTGTGACAGGGAAAAACAAGCAGAGGAATCTAGGTTGCCTTTTCCCATCACATTTGTTTTTCTGAGAATTCTATTTATCTATTCTTACTGTCTCTAAACAGTGCCAATCTACTTAATCTTTCTTGCATGAAGAGCTCTTCATGCCTGAATCCATACAGCCTCTTGTTAGAGCTGTCTTCTCCTGTCATTTCTGCTTTAGTTTGAGCACCAAAACAGAGGTGAGTTACTTGAGCATGTGCTCCACAACACAAGCTGCCCTGCATCACCTCTGCAGCTGTCAACTGCACCTCCTCCGCTGGTCTTGTGGAGCCACAAGATGAAAAGAGTGAATTGTTCCACAAAGCACCAAATCCCTACACAGCAGAAATGCTGTGGGTAGCCTTTACCTCAGCACAGGAGACATACAACATTATAGCAGGCACACACATGACTAGCAAAACAGGCATACATTTTTATGCCTAAGTATCCACCCTAGTGACAAAAAAAATGAGCCCTGTATCAATCTCCACAGGTATTGTTTCTTCTCAATGCTTCTTGTCCTATTGCTTATGGATTAATTTTCACTGGTAATACTTTACTTTCCGTAAATACTAAGTTTTTCTATTTAGCCTTCAAATAATTAATATATAATGCTATCAACAAGAGAGAGTTGGGACTGTTCAGTCTAGAGAAGACAAAGCTTTGGGGACACCTTATTGTGGCCTCTGCTTTAAGGAGGTTTATAAGAAAAACAGAGGCAGACAATTTATTATGGCCTGTAGTGATAGGACAAGGGGTAATAGGTTTAAAATAAAGTAGATTCAGGCTAGATGTATGTAACATTTTTTAATGACAAAGGTGGCAAAACACTGGCACAGGCTGCCCAGAGAGGTGGTGAATAACCCATCCCTGGAAACATTCAAGGTGGTTGGATGGAGCTCTGAGCAACGTGATGTAGTTGAAGACATGCCTGCTCTGGGGCTTGTATTAGAGGACCTTCAACAGCCTCTTTGAACCCAGGTTGTCCCACATTACTATGAAACAAACCTAATTCAGAATTCTACAGGGAAAGATACCATTGTGTCTTTCTCAATCTCTCTCTGAACCATGACAGAGGCCTCAAACTCTTCTCCCCATGTGTGCATTAGAGGTAAATTGAGATAGCAACCCCACCTTTCAATCTTCCCCCAGAAATAAATACCTAGAAATTTGCTTTTACATTAACAGGACACTGCATGTTACTCCCATGTCACTCTTACGGGCCCAGATACCAGGCAGAAAGAAACTATCTCGTTTCCAGCCAGGAAACAATAGCCAGGAAGGACCACATCTAGGACCTGGAGATTATTCTATACCACCTCTCATCATTTTCCAGGAATGGGGGAAGGGGCCTCTTCCATGTCAAAGTAGCATGGCACGATCAGCTATTTTAGGCTCCAAGTGGTAGTGAACATTTGCATATGAATCACTCACCTGTCTTGCACATTTTTCCATAAATATTGTTGCTGTTACTTTTTCTTCCTGTTTCTAGTAAATTGTTTCTCATTACTGTTTCCAGTAAATTGTTCTTATCTCAACACGTCTTTAATTTTTGTTTCTCCAGTTCTCCTCTCCAGCCAACCATGGAAAGGGAGAGAGGGGATTGAGAGAGCAGCACATCATCTGGGGTGGTTTAAGTGGGAACACTAAATTGAAGAATACCATTCTTAAACCACAACAGAAGCCAAGTGCCAGAATACATGGAGAAGACAGATGCAAAGTAGATAGAAAACACATAAAAGGTAATTAAGTAATCGTTTAAACACTGAATTTAAAGCTCTGCTTTAAAGCCAAAATCCCTTCAGTTTCCCTCGATTCTGCAGAATTGTTCTGCTCTACCCTGAAGCAGAAGTGGGTTATGGAATAAGAATGCAGCAAATACAGCTTTTAGTATGCCAAACAGGTTTGTAAAAAAAAAAAATAATTAGAATGTTTAGGGTACTGTAAAGTAATTACATCAAAAAGTACTTTGTTACTGTCCCAGGTAACTGATACTTCTATTTGTGACAAACTTCTCAAAGTACATTCACTGACTGGAAATAAACAAAATTCTCAAGTAAAATAAACCCCATCTTCTAAAGACAACATTTGCAGCTAGACTCTTTTAAGAGAACTGACATTTATTATTAATCTTTATCCACACTTGAAATGTAACTCTCTGGAAACATCCCTAGCTGAATCTTTCCCACTGTGAGAATAGCATTCCTTCTATGGAGAAGTGATGGATGTCTAACTGATATGAGAAATGTTCAGAAGATAGTCATGTTCTACTGCACTTTAACTCAACACTTCGGTTTGAAGCCCCAAATGCTTCAGGGTGGTCTCATGCTGGCTGATGTCTGCGGTAACACAGGGAGTGAATGTTCCATGCTTCATTCTCCACATATTTAACTGCACTTTCTTGGCCCCCATTTGGAACTGTAACAT